TCACTCAGCTCTTCCACCAATTAGATTGGCGACAGCCGCCCTCTCCCGGAACTCTGCCCAAAGCCATTAAGTTCACATACGATAATTGTGTATACAACTCACATCCATTTCCGGATAGGTAACCTCGCTCTGTTGATAAGCTGTGGAATTCTCGGCGGTCATTTGATTGATAATTTTGACATGGGCGAGGTCGTCTCGAATACCTAAAAAACAGTCGGTCAATTGATATCCGTGAAAAACGTCTCTGTTCTCGTTATTGAAGGTGTCACTGAACGTCACAACATTAAACCTTTTCCATACTGATCGATGAGCACCGTTTTCGTCCATACGTAGTCACCCGATGGTGATTCAGCTGACTTTCGACTTCGCATCGATTGCAGAAGGCGAGGTGGAAGTTGGCAGCGTTTCTGAAAGCATTGTTCAGATAGTTGGAAGGAAACAATAGGTGCAGTACTGCTGATGACCTAGCTATGGCTCAGCAGGTCAATGTGATGAATCCCTGAGAGCTGAGTAGAAATCCCGCGCTTCGGGGCATATTTAGGAATATTGGACGGGTAGGAATAGCGAATAAGACCAGGAACATCCATGCCCACCTCTTCGATTCTCACAAGAGCCGAGTTGGAGAAATCTAACGCTGTCCAGGAATATTCACGGAAATACACGGGTGGAAGGGCGAAGAAGGACGATGCCACGCGCGCGGCTCACACGTCACTTCTCGAATTGTATCTCACTGCTCTAGCGCGTATAAACCTGGATTCTGCGCGGGCGGGATGATCTTGTGGTTATCTAACCTTCTTTGAGGAGAATAATGCTTAGAGTTCCCCGTTACACGTAAAAGGGAGGGAATCCAAGGTACAGAATCTCAAATAAACCTGTTTGCCCTGCGTTACACGAAAAACAAAACTGGCGCCTGCTCTTGCACTTATCACTAAGCGCCGGGGGAGGGTTATGCCGCTGGCGTGCTGGCAAGCCGTCATAATACCTGGCGCTGCTGCGTAAGCTGCACCTCCGCTGAGCCTCTGTAGCGTTGCCCGGGCACTACTCCCGGATATTCTATAACCGTACTTGTTTGTGAATTCAGGGCTTGAAAGCGCCTTTGCATTGTGATAAATCATCTACAGTAAACCAAGAGGAATAGCCATGCTCCACGCGCAACCACCGCAGCAGAAGCCACCTCTAACCCTTGCAACCTCGAGCTGCTTGACCTACGCGTTACTACACTCACACAAATACCACTGGGCGAAGTCACGTTGGCTATGGTAACCGCATTAAAGACTAACATTTGGCACTTAATGCCACGCCTACTCTGGCTCAGGGATAAGGAGTGTACCTCTAACCCTTTCAAGGCGACGGGTGTTGAGCCCTACCGTTACCACACTGACACACAACACATACTGGCGAATAATTTTTCTATTAGTAATGCATAAAAGACTAACGTTTTGGCAGGTTGAGTTGTAACAAATTGCCGTCCCTTCGAAACCGGTACAGTTGCCGCCAAGAACTACCTGAAAGTAGATTTTCTGGAGTTCAAGTTGCCGAGCACCACAGGAAAGAGCAGTTTTTTTGCGTCATTCTACAGTTAATATGCACGATATGATCAACGCGAAAAAAGGCGTCATGATAATTAAAAAAATATACTATAATTATGTGAATGATAAACAATCATATGTGATACAGAGGGAAAACCCAGAAACTCTTACCTTGCTTCGACAACGCCAAGCCCTCATATCACACCAGTAGTAAGGAGAATCGCAGTCCGGTTTCGATGCGGTGCAATGCCTGACCGGCTCGTATTCATACCTGTAGTCAGTACGGTCCTACCGTAACCGATTGGCAGTCTCTGAAGCACCGAAACTAGAACCTCCAAAGCACCTACCACTCATTGGTGTACTGATTGCTGAGTCCATCACGATTCTGGAGTCGAAACGGCTTCATCTGCTCATCGTATCCATGTAAAGAATTGCAGGTGTCCTAAAAACCCCATTGCATGTCTCAAGATCTTCACACTAATAGTAGTAGTCAGTAAGTAATCCACAGATGATATTGTCGCATTCTGACAGAGAAGGGTGGTGTCAGGATGGGTGTAATGAGCGTACCCGCTGGTGCGTTTTCTACCAATAGTGGCCGCTTTCAGGTAGAAGAGAGCCAGCGGTAGGAAGCGCGGGCTCACCCACGTATACTCGAAATCCCTGAGATCGGGTAGGCGTGGCTGCATGCTTCAACTTAACCTGAAGGAGTCTATGCTTCTGGTGAGATATTTTCATCTTGACACAATTGTTGTCGTGTCTCTGTCCAACACAGAACAAGATGACAGTTGTCCCAGACTGGAATATTCCACGAGTAACCAATTCCGTGCCATGTTCAAATGCCACGCCTACTCTGGCTCAGGGATAAGGACTGCAATCTGACTCCGCCCCTCGGATTGTGACGGCACCAACTGTAAAGGGATTTCCTGGCATTGTTAGCCTGTACACGTAGCGCGTGATGGGACAAAGAATACGTGAATGTGGATCCAATCGATTGATCGAAAAGGAACGTCTATTGATCCTACTCCTTGTTCAATCGACAACCAAGAGAGAGAAACCCCTTCAGGTCTCTTGGTACGATGAGTTT